TATTCTCTGTCTACTTTGCCAGGCCCAGCCAGTGAATGTGGATGTAGTGAGGAAGATCTTGGGGAACAAGGCCACTTTCAGTCCCATTGTCACTCTGGAACCTCGCAGGAGAAAGTTTCATAAACCCATCACCATGACCATCCCCGTCCCCAAGACCAACTCCGACCCAGTCCTCAATGGCTTCGGAGGGGACACCCCCACCTTACGACTGCTTTGTAGTATCACTGGTTAGAGAACACACACAAATACACACAAATCTGCTAACAGATCAACCAGAAACATGCTCACATTACATCTTGTGTGTGTGTCCATGTGCAGGTGGAACAACGCCCGCTCAATGGGAGGACATAACAGGAACCACACCGTTAACGTTCATCAATGACTGTGTCTCCTTCACCACCAATGTGTCTGCCAGGTAACACAAAAAAGAATCTGTTATTGTACCACTAAATATATTACTGATTTAAAGTGACTCAGATACTGATGCTTAAACACCCAAACTCACTGTTTCCTTCTGTTTTTTAGATTTTGGCTGATAGACTGTCGACAAGTCCAGGAATCTGTCAACTTCTCCACTCAGGTGTACCGAGAGATCATCTGTGTCCCTTACATGGCCAAGTTTGTCATCTTTGCCAAGACCCACGATCCCATTGAGGCCAGACTGCGCTGCTTCTGCATGACAGACGACAAGATCGACAAAACCCTGGAGCAGCAGGAGAACTTCTCAGAGGTGGCCCGCAGCCGAGATGTAGAGGTGAGGAATGAGAGCGGAATGTTTCACCAATTGTAGATGATGCCATGATGGAGGTCCACTGGAGGAGGCTAGGCAAAATAGCCTGATAGATAACAACTTAGTGTAAAAATCATTGTTAACCCTAACCCTAACCCATGCAGCTAACTTCACTGTAAAAGCCTACCAGCTGCATTTTGTACCATGTAAAGGCCTAAGGTTGTGTTTTGGTATAATCTTTAAAACAATGAACTGCATTGCTGCAACTGCAACTAATTTTCTCCAGGTTTAGTATTTGCAGACAGGGAGCCAAGAAGGACCAAATATAATTTGTTTTCATTTAGCTTGAGAAAATTTGGAGACATCAAACACTTGAGAAACAGGCTATAATGTGATGCAAGCTGCCATCCTCACTGGTTTTTACCAGCACATAGATCTATGTAATCTATGTTAGTTGTGTTAGTCAGTTAGTGGATAGTTGTCCTCCTGGGGCCCAGAATGGAGTCTTGGGGAACACCACAGGTCCGGAATGCCGCCAGCATCTCAGACCAACACTAAAAAGTTCTGTTTATTAAATGTGATTTTAACCAGTATAAGTCAGTGTCTATAATACAAAATAATTTTTTCATCAAAATTGTCTGATTAAGCAGTTTTAATGCTATGTAGTAATCAGAAACCTCATTATAAAGTTGAAAAGTAAAACACCAAGGTGTAAACAAAACAGTGTGTTTTTCTGTCATTATTTGTTATTTAGCCCTTGTACTAATCTGCCTTTTATATTTCTTAGGTCCTGGAAGGCAAACCTATCTATGCAGACTGCTTTGGAAACCTCGTTCCCCTTACCAAAAGTGGCCAGCACCATCTGTTCAGCTTCTTTGCCTTTAAGGAGAACAGACTAGCACTCTTCATCAAAGTGAGCACTGTTCTTAGTTTATTTCACAAAGTAACATGAACAGAGTTTGTCATGCAAGTGCAGCAAGAGTCAAAAATAATTTGTCATGTTGAATTGCTTCATTCGCATACAACATCAATATTTCTGGATAAAGAGTTGACTAGTTGAGTTGCTTGACTGTTGTAGATCAGAGACAACACTCAGGAGCCATGCGGTCGTCTGTCATTTATGAAAGAACCCAGGAACTACAGGTCACTCACCCAAAATGCCATATGCAACCTCAACATCACCCTTCCATCATACTGCAAGGTAAGGCCACTCTACTGTTGTTTGACTCAACAGATGATGCTTTCTGTTGCAAATATTCTTAGTTCTTGTAAGTAACTGACTGTTGGCAGTTACAATTTAACATGAAAGCGCTACAATAAAATATTCTAGCTGGACCATACTGCAATCTTGAGCCTATTTTCCCTGTTCTGCTGTAATACATGCTTATATCCTACTTATCATCACTATACCAAAACATAACCCCAATTATTTTCTTATTTAATATTTTGTAATTATCTTACATCAATGTTTAACATCCCAAGTAGAAACTGTGGTGATGCTATCAACAGCAGACATTGCTTTACAGTGAAAGTTGCTACTGTGAAAATTGCCTATCCTCAGATCAGACAATGGTTAAATATATTGGACTTAAAATCACAGAATTCATGTGATGGCTAGTCTGAATAGCATGGCTAGTTTGTGATGCTTATGCCAAAACACCAAGAGATAAAACAGATCAAAGTAGGGCTCAGGCTAAAAAAATTAATCTGAGGTAACATCCAAAATCCTTGCCTAAATGCAGCTTTAAAGACCACTGTCGCTTTCCCTGAAATCACACTGACTGGTTGTCTTTGTTTCTATGGTAACCACACATTACCCCCTGTCTTTTTCTCTCTTTAATGTTGCTGTTGTTTTTATCTGTACATCTTTCTGCTTCTTGCTGCTTCTTGCTCCCAAAAGGAGTCCGATTCAGACCAAGAGCAAGAGGAAGAGGTAAAAGCAGCCACCGCTCCCCCCTCCCTGTTCTACTAACTTGCTCTGCTGACCTATCTCGTTCATTGTCTTGTCATGAAGACTAAATAAAAGACAAGTAGTCATGTGTTATATTTTAGATATATTTTGTTTATGGTAGTAGATTAGATTGTGATTTCTGAGTGGTGTAGCTCATTTTTGCTGTGGTGTATCCAGTGTGTCCTTTTCCTGAAGTAATAGTTGTAATGGTAGTAGTAGTTTTAGAATATTAGGCACATATAGTGGATGAAACAAGGCTAACTGTGATCCATTTTCCACGTTTTTTTCCAGACCAGCAGAACGCTAGAGAAATGTAAGCATTTTTTTCCTATTTATTTTCTTTATAACTTGTTCTAAAATAACTATTCTATAATAATACTGCATGTCAGCTTGTAACTAATATGATGAAAACACTAATATTGTATGGGTGATCAGTCTAATGTAGTTAGTGCGCAGGGGAATAACCAAACTGATACACTGACACTGCCAGCTTAGCCCTTAGCTTAACTGTGGACCATATACATCTTATCAAAGCCCTTTAAGCTTCATGTATTTTTGTCTTGTCAAACAAACAAAAAGGCCTTACCTGCACCGTCCCATGTCAATGTTATGTTGCTCCTGAGGCTTAACTTCACTTTTTATTATTTTATTATTTTATTTATGATTTCACACCTCCCACAATGTCTTCAATTGAACTCTTTCCCCATCACAATTTAAGATCGGACATATGGAGAAAGAGTTACACACTGCCATCTAAGTACGTACATTACATTTAAACTCATTCATACTGTGGTGATGTTAATGTGACATGGGCCTCTAATTTTGTGTTAGCCAAAAGTTGGCAGTAGCGTTAAAACACAGACACAGTGCCTGTTTAGTCAGTTAGAGGCTCCAAAACCCGCTTGAAATGGGTAGGGGGACGCAACCGGTTGTGTTTATGCAGTCAAGCGCTTGTATTTTTATCTGGACAGACTACAAGAGTCACAACAAAGAACAAAATGTTTTTGTGGTTAAGTACACAGTCAGACCTTTCACAAAAATGTTTTCACATATTTTGATGTCTGCACCTTTCACTTTGATATATATTTTTTCAAAGTAAAGATTTAAATGCACATCGAAATACAGCTTTTAAAGGCATTAAGGTAGTCTCTGAACTTGTTAGATCAATGAGAGACTCTTGCCAATGATGTCATTCACAACTGCTTGTGGGATGTATGAGCTCCAATCCATTGCAGTTACTTATATAACTAAAGCTGTCATATAGCAGCAGGGAATGAGAGCGGCTTTGAAAGAAGATGGCAGGAGGTGATATAATTTGTCATCACTAAAGCACACCTGGACTCCACCTATGTATACTGCCTTCCTGTTCATCCTGCTGCAGCCACTCAGTTTGTGCCATGCTGTGCCGGGGTTGTGCTAGCACCTCTGGTCACCCAGATTCCAAACTTTAGTTTCTCACACCCATGTGCACTTGTGCTCGGAGTTCCAAAACTGGGTGCTAGTGATTGCGCAAGCACCCAGTTCTGGGAGATTAGAGGCCAGAATATTAGTATTCCTCCAGCTGTAGTCCTTTAGTGTAATGGTAAAGCAATCCTTCTAAATCCTCCCCCTTCTACTTTTCTTGCCTTGCTCATGTAGTCATGTGAAAATGACAAAATGGAAACTTACACAACACAATATACTTAAATAGTTTTAATTAAATTAACCTCATAGTAAACCAATCCACGGTATACATGAAACATACTATACATACATTCCATGTATGTATTTTTAGGAGAAATTTAATATGGGTATTATGTGTATTAATATATAATTAATATAGATGATGCTGATATTAAATGTCATGGCAGTAGTTGTATACATGGACCAAGAACTCACCACATTACTGAATGAAGACATTTTAACAAACAGCTCTTGATCATGCGCAACTCTTCTCCTCTAATTGTGGATTTAATCAGAACTTTCCACTCACTCCACTCACTCTTCTCCAGGACCTTTCCATCAACACTTCCCTATGCTTTGCATGGAAATAACTTGCCTTACATAAATGTGTACGTGTGTGCTTGTTTGTCTGAATGATTGTATGTCTTATTAATGAGTTAATTTATTTTTTTGTTGGTGTTCTTATTTTGGAATGTTCCCTCACAACACCATCCACTTATGGTATTGTGCACAGTTTTTTGTTATTTCAGTTTTCATTTGTTATATTTCAAATATTTAGCATGAGGCTGAATGGAGAGCAAAGGGAGTTAAAATATTGTCCCTCCCTGCAAGATGTCTTTCTCTAGTTTCTAGCAGAGATCTTCCTTCCTCTTTAGATTCTCTCAAAATAAATGATCTGCTTTGTCTAGAATGAAAAGCATGTCAAATCATCATATGTTATATAAGTTATCACTGGCTTTCTTTGATATACACAATTAGTATTCTGAGTTGCTTTCAAGCCATTTTCGCCTATTATCACATTGACATTTGTCATGCATCTGAGCAATCTTGAGATGTCTTGTCTCTATGTTTTTTCTTTGTCTCTTTTTTCCATTGTACTTGTTGGTTTCTTGGTAATCTGGTTTTACTCATAGTTGGTATTGTTATGTACTAAACACATTTTAGTTTTGTTCTATAGTTTTGTCTTGTGAGTGTGGGTGCGCTGAGTGTATAAGCAAGTTATTTCCTGCTCATATCATTTCCCATTGGTAATATTTTGCCTTTGCTTTACCACAGTTCCCCAGAGACATTAAAGTATAAGCCAATTCCTCTGATACCCTGATGTAGAACCCATTGTGAATTTGTTGTCCTATGATCCCTGAAGTGTGTTCCAATCTTATCCTGACCACATTCTCCGATGTCTGTCTCCTTTCATTTGAATTTTTGATTTTCTTTACTCCTTACTTGTTCTTCTTCCATATGGAAGATGAAGAGACGGAGACATCAGTCCTGAAATCAGAGCTGATCCGAGAACCAGACCTCCTATCCGACGTGTCGGAGATGAAACAAGATTTGATCAAAATGACTGCCATCTTGACTGCAGACTCCACAGAGAAATCCCCTTCCTTAGGAGGCTGTGGTATAGAGAAAGGGGCTGAGGATGTTTCTGGAGAACCATTAGAAATAATGGAGAAGGACTTAGAGAAAGTCAAAGAGGACCTAGAGAAAGTCAGTGAAATACTGAGGAGTGGAACATATGAGGGTGAGGCAGCAGAGGAGGTAGCAAAAGCAGCTAGAATGGCTGAGGAGTGGGTTCTTCTCTCAGACAGTGAGATAGAGGAAGCCAAAAAGATGGCTGCCCTAGAAATTCAAGAGCCTGTCTTACGTGAAAGTAGAACTAACAGGGGGGCACCCAGACCCAAAGCCATAAAGGACAGTGGTGACCTTAAAGAATACCTTCTGGATGCACCAGTAAGCTCCAAAATTAAAGCTAAAAAAGAGCCAGCAGTCCAAGAAAGATTCACTGATGTTGTACTACGCAAAAGTGCAAAACCAACCACTCCAACCAAAGCACATGACAAAACAGCTTCTGGCGATGTTAAAAAGCCAGTCAGAAGGAAGGGGAAAGACCAGGGGCAAGCAGAGGAATCGACAGACGCAGGATCTCTTTTAAGTGTGCCTAAAGCCCCTTCCCCAGTGTCACCTGTATCCCCAGTGGTTGAAGAAACTCCCATTGGGTCAATAAAGGACAAAGTCAAAGCCTTACAGCAGAAAGTAGAGGCAGAGCAAAAGAGCAAAAAGGTTACTGGAAGCAAGCCTTCACAATTGCCTGTGAGCAAATCCTCTCCAAAAGCCAAAGAAAGCCCTAAATCGAAACAGGGCCCCCCTAAATCCCCCAAAGCTGAATCTGAAAAACTTGAAGAGACCATGTCAGTTAAGGAGTTGATGCAAGCATTCCAAACGGGGCAGGACCCCTCAAAGAGAAAGTCTGGGCTATTTGAACTAAAAACATCCACAACGACAAGATCAGAGAAAACTACAAAATCAGAAACCATCCAGTCCAAACCCATGACCAAAGCAATAACCTCATGTGTCTCTCAAGAACGAGAAGTATCTTTGGATTCCAAACCTCGCAAGAAAGAGACCACTCAGCAAGACAGAGAGAAAGAAACCAAGTCAGTTGCTGCCGCCCATTCAGAGCTAACTGAAACTGTAGACTTTGGAAATGGTGGTCTTGATGATAGCTCTGACAGCTTAAAACATGAGGGTGTGGCAGACTCACTAAGTGCCAGTTCTGGAGATGGGACCCCTCATATGAGCTCTGAGGACAGTTACAAACATGAGGGTCTAGCCACTCCAGGTACAAGCCCAGAAAGTATGTGTCTTTCTCCCAAAACGGGACAGCAGACCTCTACAACTTCAGCAGCAACTGCCACAGCAGTCATAGAGGAAACTAAAGACACAGAGAAGTTTGGAGACTCTGGTTTAGGGACCACTGGTGACCAACTGTCTACAGAATTGACCCTCCCTGTCTCTTCCAGCAAGGCTGCAGATGACCACGCTACAAGTGAGTCCATATCTGTTAGGAGGAGTGAATCTAAGCCATCTAAACCCCAAAAGCTTACAAAGAGAATTTCAGAGACTGTTGAAACTTTTCTTAGTGATGACGATAGCCCTGATCGTCAGCTAGAATTGTCTTTAGTTGGTTCTCCAGGTTCTAGATCCTCTCCTCAGTGTCACGAAAGCTTAGAGCTGCATTTAAAACAAGACTCAGATGCTCTCAGTCCATTAGCTGATGACTCTTTGACAATAAGCCACAGAGACTCTCTAGAGGGTAGTCCTCTCATGGAAGAAAACTCCTCCCATAAGTCCCCAGATTCTATTGAACCTAGTCCAACCAAGGAGTCACCCCCTCATGACTCCTTAGAGAGCAGCCCTGTAGAGCAAAAAAGCCACCCATCCTTCCCATCAGCTCTAGATCCACCTAGTAAATTCTCTAGCCATCCAGAGCCCTCCAAAGCTACAGAATTCCCCCAAGATGCTTTGCGTGGTAGGCTGCTACGAGACCATGAGGCTAGTGCTGATGATGACAGTTGTGAGCAGACATCTCAGATGACAAGTTCCGGTAAGAGTCCCCTCTCCCCTGATACTCCTAGTTCTGAAGAGGTAAGTTATGAGGTAAACCCCAAACCCCCTGACCATACATTCCTCTCTGTTCCATCCAAACCGGCTGTCATCCCTGAAGACCCAGATGAAGAGGATCCATCAGAAAGCTATGAAGCTCAGAGAAAAATCACTCCAGAGGAGGAGATGTTTAAGATGGCAGCCAAAATAAAAACATTTGATGAAATGGAACAAGATGCCAGAAGCAAAAAGAACTCTAGAAAAGATTTGTTTCCATCAGCAGATGCCAAAATAGGGGATGACAGCTATGAAACATTAGAGCCCGCAAGTGAGAAGCTTTCGCAAAGTGAATGTGGGCTCAATAGACCCGCTGAAGATTCAAAGTTAGCTCTTTTTGTTGATCCCCATATTAAAGTACAACCTCCCTCTCCTTTTTCAGCAGGTTTGCATGATGGATCCCACAGCAAAGAAGTCAAGAACATAACAACAACAACAGCCAGTGTCACTTCAGAGGGACCTCATTCTGTCTCAGACCAGCATCATTCAAAATCCAAACTGGAAACTGCACAGGAACAAGGAGTCCTGTCATCTGTAAAAACTGATAAAGACAGTACTACCAAAATGGCTGCTGTAACATCAAACTCTGCAAACAGGACTGATGAGCAAAAGGAGGCAAGCTTAAGGAAATCGAGAGAAAGCGAAGGAGATGATGAAGATGGTCAAGAGTTAGGTGTTACCAATCTACAGACTGGAAAGCTAAAACAAGGTAGCAATGTAACAGATGAAGTGAAAGGAGACCAAAAGGGGCATACAGGAGCATCAGAGGCTGGACTCAGTGCAACTGTTGCCACTGGTCAAACAAAGGAAATGTTTAAACCGGAGGTCTGTATATATGATGACACAGAAGAGGATGATGACGCACTGGAACCTCCCAGAACGGAGTCAAAAGGTGTCACTGCAAGGGTAGACACTGACTCATGGTCTGCCATGCGAGAGGATGATGCCGCTTTTGCAGCTCGTGTGAAAGAGGAAGAACAGAAGATACTTAATCTGGTGGTAGACCGTCAGTCTGTGCAAGCAACTCCAGACACAACACCTGGTAGAACCCCAACAGAAGAGAGCACTCCTACCAGTGAGCCCAACCCTTTTCTATTCCAAGAAGGGAAGCTCTTTGAGATGACACGAAGTGGTGCTATTGACATGACTAAGAGGAGCTATGAGGAAGAGGGGGGTGGTTTTGCCTTTTTCCAGATAGGTGAACAGCCTTTAGAGGAGCCTCTCTTAGAAGAAGCCAGGCAAGAAGGTGTTAGGTCAGCAGCAGAACCTGAAGTTGGTCTCAATCTAACACTAGAAGTTAAGACTGAGGAGACTGAGAAATCAAAAGAAACATCTGGTTCTGAGCTTCAGTCTCCACCTGAAGGTGATCAGTCAGCCTCTAAATCTGATGCCTCCAAATCTAAAATCCCTAAAATGGGCATTTCAGCTTCAGGAAAATCTACAAAGAAGGATCAGACATCCCCTGAAGGTCTAGAGACTAAAACAGAAAAAAATGAAAGCTTAGATTTAGACACAAGTCCCCCTGACCAAATGATAACGAATGTACAGACAGCAGAAACTACCGTCACTAGATCAGTTTACTCTGAGCAGGGCCAAGAGTCCTCTGATTCTTCACCAGAGGAACCACAGTCAGTAATAGAAGCACCCAAACCAACAGGCAAGTCCAAACAAAGTGCTTCCAGTAATGTTAAAAAGACTCCAGTTAAAACGCAAGCTAAGTCTGCTTCTCAAAGTCGCAGTAAATCAGCAATTCCCTCTCCATCTCATGCAACCCCCTCTTCAACCACTCTTAAAAAAGAGGCCTCCTTCACATCTGAATCTAAATCTAGAATTCCCATTAAGGCTACCACTCCCAAGCCTGATTCTTCTGTCAAAAATACTGAATCTACCCAAGACAAAAAGCTTAAGGTTCCTGTAAAAAAGGATACAAGGAGAAAGTCTGAGACAGACGCAGGTCCCTCTGTGGATGTCAAAACCAAGACATCTTCCAAAGCCAAGAGCTTCTGTGAGGGGGAGTCTACCAGGCCATCTGACAAAAAGAGCGCTGAGTCAGCTAAATCTAAAAGCTTCCAGTCCAGATTGCCAATCCGAGGCAAAAGTGGTCAGTCATCTCATTCATCAACACCCACTAAAGAGAAAAGTGAGACATGCAAACAATCCATTGAGTTCTTCAAAGAGATAAGCGATGAAGCAGCAAAACTTGTGGCAAGGTTGGCACAGGCAGAGACAGAGAAAGAACAAGAGTCTGCAGCTGCCAACTCAGATGATGAGAGCAGTCTCATTGACCCATCAATCATAGAAAGAGAAACTTTCCCTGAGATGCAGTACCCTCCCTCAGGAGACGTCTTTCCCATTAGACCACTCTGGGACGACCCTGTTGAGACACAGATGCAGCGAATTCCAGATGATAAAGCCCAAAGTCAAGGTATCCCCCCAGTTTAAGGGGCTATTCTCTATTTCTTGTGCCTCATTAGACCACTGTAGCTGTAAAGGTGCTGCCTCTCTGTCTCTTGTAGTTAAGTCCCATTGTAGTTGAAGAATCTTTGTGGCTGTGTCACTTGAGCTGTGTTTGTGTTTGTTATATTGTCTCTCTTTCCTTCTATGTGTGCTGAAAATCTCAAGATTGACTTAAAGGCTTTATGGAACTTGTGAAAACAACTTAGTGACTAAAGTGTGTAAAGATTAAAGAGTAGATCATTATTTCGACAATCACATGTAATGTCAATACTTTGGTCTAGGTTACAATTCCTTAATTAGATATCATGAATTGAACAAAAATACTGTCAAGAAAGCCAGTGAAGATAATTATTTTCGCTACTATTTGTGTATGTGACTTGGTTTGGTATACCATTCGGCTCTGACCGCTCATGGCTGTCTGGTGGTATTTGCAGTAGATCCACAGGATGAAGCTGAGAGAAAAGAGCAACGGTTGGCCATTATAGCTGACCATCTGGGCTTCAGCTGGACAGGTGAGTTGCACCTTAGTAGCAGTGATCCAGCTATCAAACAACAACAACAAATATACATTAGTGTATTACTTAATGTTTGCCAGGTTCTCAAGAAACATAATTTCAAACATTTCGAATGTATCTTCCGATCATCATAATCATTATATCTTCTTTTTCTCCACAGAATTGGCACGAGAACTGGACTTCAGTGAGGAGAGGATCAACCTGATAAGAATTGAAAACCCTAACTCACTTCAAGACCAAAGCCATGCCCTTTTGAAACTCTGGGCAGAGAGGGAGGAGAAGCATGCCACAGGTTATAATTACTTTTTAAACTAGTAGAAGCTCTTATTAAAATGTAAAGTGTAACTTTAAAGTCTGTTTTCTGTCACCAGAAACAACACTGATCAAAAGACTGACCAAGATCAACCGAATGGACATTGTTCACCTCATTGAAACCAAGATCATCAAGTCCACTCAGGATGAGACATCCTCACACACCTATGCAGAAATAGAGCGGACCATAGCACTGGATCATAGTGAAGGTACACAAGCCAATATTAACTTGAAGCAGACTGGGGATTGGGTTGTTGATATGTCTTGTAGGAAGTCCTTATCGATTGCTTTCCTATGAGATTCAGAGTTATTTTAACTCTCTGTGTCTGCCTGCACTGTATCCTTTGTCAGGTTTTTCTGCCCTTCATGAAGACATTGACAGTCCCAGGCCAGGCAGGCGTACAGAGGCCACACGTAGGAGTCCAGGCTCAGGACAAGAGGTACCCATGGTGTCAGCAGAGGATCTGTCCTCCAGTTTGTCATCACTTCACGAGACAATGGGAAGATCAGAGACAGATTCCACAGCAACAGGCTTTCTTAGAAATGCCCAGAAAGAGAAACTACAAAAAGAGATGGAGACGACATAGTAAGTGATTAGTTTAAGTCATACCACACCCACATAGATTGCTACTATTTTTCTTCTAGTCAATAATGATACATTTGAAAATCACTTTTACCTAGATTTTTGAATTAAAAAAGGAATGACTTTTTAGATTTTAACTAGACTTTCAACTTTAATACATACTGTGTGATCATTACCGCTTAAGTTTACATGGCTTAAATTAGTATTTTGTAGAACATATTTTGCTTAACATTGTGACAATATGAAGGAATACTATGATTATATGAAAGACTTCTTTCTATCAGCTTCTATTGTTCTTTTTTTCACAGCTCATCACAAAGAGTATATGAGGAATTGACAGACACAATACACTCAAGCAGTTTTAAACAAGTAAGTCCTTTCTTCACATTGTACCGCACCACTCCCTACAAACTCCGATCCCATGTAATAGACCCTGTGTACAAAGGGGGACCCAAGTTAGGTGCCCAGATTACCCCACTTCCTTATCCCACGGTTGAACCATGTGATGATGAGGGGCCTGCTGGATGTGAGGGGGCAGAGGGGGGAGAGGACTGGAGCTTGGAGTGTCTACAAACCATGCATTCTGAATACAATGCTCATTATTTGTCACCATTGCCTTGGCGAGAGTCATCCAATAGCTCTCGAACAGGTGTGTGCGAGAGTCGACCACTGTCCATGACTGATTTTGGAGACAGCTTGATTGAGTGTGATCAAGCTGAGCAAGACTTCAGGAAACTGTCTATGGAGTTCATGGAAACCAATGAGGTGTCTGAAAAGAGTTCCTTTACACAACAACTGACTAGTGAACAAAGGTGTCCACCTATTCAGCCTACTTCTGGTTGTGTTAATGCAATGGCAGAATCCATGCAGACCAAACAAGTGACCGGAAGACACATGGATGAAGTTTCACGTCGACTGTATAAAGTCCTGTATGGATATGATGTTGACCTGATGGATTCAGGTAGTGCAAGTGTGTCTGTGGTACCTGAAGACATAATTCAAGCTGGAGTCCAGAAAGATGCGGTTGGGGGAGCTGCATCAATTTCAGGTGACCTTGATGTCAAATCTATTCATGGCATGAGTCAAAACCATGATACTGCCACTCAGGCATTAGCATGTCCCTCTGTTGCCAGTGCCAATCCAGCCAAAACAGAACTCATGAGCCCAACCAGCTTAATTCATGTGTCACATGACTCAACTTGTAAGCAGTTAGATGTTACTTTAGTAGATAATGCTGTGTCATTTATACGAAGTGCTGAATGCAGCTCTGAGAAAACACTGTCAATCAGACAAAATGAACCTGAGGTTGTTGTTACTGTAAAAGCTGCAGGTGAGATTGAAGCATCCAGATATAGATCCTGTTTACCAGAATCAACTTCTGAGAACATTTGTGAACTTCATAGCTTTGATTATGATAGATCATCATTACCTGAATGTGTGATTGATACAGCAATATTTCTGACGGAAAGTAGATCCTCATCCCCTGAATCAGTGTCGTCAGTAAATGAACTGAAATTTCTTGCACCTGATTCTCCAATACCTCAGTTTAGGCCCTTGTCTCCCCTACCACCTCCTGTTTTTCCATGGGAGACTGGTGATGTTAGGGCTTCTGCAAAGGGGCAACCATTACTGAGTGTGCCAGGAGGCACTTCATTGTTCACACAAGAAGCAGAGGAAAGACCATTAACACCAATGGTTTCAAACAAAAGACCATTTGGAAGGCCGGTATCATTAGACAGTGATTATAGTGGGGAGAGATCCCTCTCACCTCAATCCTTAACTTTTGACATAGAAGACAGAGCATCATCACCTGAGTCTGTCATTTTTGAAGAGGTGCAGTGGTTTTTCACATCCTCTGACCATATGACTCTGTCTACTGATTTCCATGAGATGAGACCATCATCTCCTGAATCCTTTGGATCCATCACTGCATATTATCCACCAGACTCCCCTGTCCCACAATTTAGACAAGTCTCAGAATCTGTTACAACTTGTCGGTTTAGATCATTGTCACCTGAGTCACCGTCATCAGATATAGAAATTGAAGCAGAACTTTTGTTATCAACCTTTTTTGAAGACAGAGCAACGTCCCCAGAATCAGTAACATCTGTGAACGAATATAAAGCATTGTCACCTGATTCACCTATACCTGAATTCAGTTACAACTGGTCTGAATCAGTTATTTTAACGATAGGAGAGAGATCCACTTCACCGGAACCTGTATGCTCAGATGTAGAATATGGGTCCATATCTCCAGCATCTCTTAACTATGGATATAGAGCTTCATCACCTGCTTCTGTTGCATCTGTAGATGAATCAGAATCTTTCTTACCTGTGGTTGGACATGTATCACCCGCCCCTGAATCAATTAAATCTGCAGAGGTAGCATGGTACTCCCTACCAACAAAATCACCTGAACCATTAGTATCTCTCACAGAGAACAAACCCTCAACACCAGTGGAATCTGTGTCTGAGGATGATGATGATTGGGTTGTCATATCTTTGTCTGATATTGAAGAAAGACCACTTTCACCAGAGTCAGTGCCTGACTGCAGATTAGGGTCTCCACAGTCAATGTTAGACATTAGAGCATCCTCCCCTGAATCAGGAACATTCAATGAGTGTGTGTCTCCAGATTCTCCTATACCACAATTTACGCCATCTGTGCATCATTCTGTTACTATAAATAATCATTCATCATCACCAGAATCTGTGTTGTCAGATACAGAATATGAGGCTTTGCCATTGCTATCATATTTTGAGACTAGGCCTTTATCTCCTGATTCTAGTGGTTCAGTAAGTGATTGTGGGCCATTGCCTTATCCCGTAACTGACCTGCCTAATATGGAAGATATGACACTTGAACTAACAGGCACTCCATTTTTTAAAGAAACTAAAACAAACATAGTTATTGATCTAGAAAATGTAAAAACTGAAGAACAAATATCAACCTCTATGTCATCAAAATCTGTAGAAGAAAATCCTATGAGATTTAATAAAAATGAAGCTCCCAAGGCACAGTCAATAGTACCTGATGGCTCTCAGTCAGACCAAAACATTGTCCCACCACCAACAGGAGTTGAGGTCTTGTCTGGTGTAATTACAGAAGAATTATCATATGATCGAGGAAACTCAAAGGAGGAAATGTGCAATCTGGTAACTGAGAAGACCAAGTCTACTAGAAAGAAAAAGTCCAAGAAATCAATCAAAACTGATTATGAATCTATGCAGAATGTTACAAAATTTCAAAAAGACTCATCTGAGTTTATAACTAAAATACATGAAGATACACAAGGGTCTGATAAAGCTGTGTCACCTCTTTTGTCCCCAGAAACTGCATCTAATGATCTACCATTGTCATTGGCATTTAGTACAAAGATCGAAGATCAGCAATTACCTGGAGAGTCCTCATTTTCTGTACCTCAGCATGATGCACCTTTATTCCTAACAGACGATTCAGTGTCAGTCTACAGTCTAGCATATGATGCAGAACTTTGGAAGCTCATCTCTCAAATTCGTGACCCTCAGTATGTAGGAGAAACCTTCATGAGTAAAACAGGAGTCTTTCAGTTTGCTGGAACAAGGACAGAGTCTTATCAGATAAAGTCAGATGTGACCATTGAAGACAAAGCTGCTGCTTTGCAATCATTATATTACCAAAGATCACTTTCACCAGATTCTGAAGCAGAATATAGACCCATGTCACCACAATCGCTGTTGGTGCTGGACACACTTAGACCAGATTCCTCCCTCTCAGGGAGATCTGTAGACAGTCAGCGAGCTTTAACACCAGATTCCCCTATTCCTCAGTACTTTACCTCTTTTTCTAGACCCTTACAAGTTTATCACAGATCAGTGTCATCAGAGTCAGTATTGTCAGATCTGAATCTGGAGACTGATTTAAACATTTCATTTGTTTGTGAGGACAGACCAGCATCTTGTGATTCAGTAGCATCTGCAAACTTATACAGGGCACTATCACCTCAATCACCTATTCCTGATTTTAGACCGTCTTTACCAGAATCAGTTGTAACTGCTCGATTGGATCGGTCTTCATCACTTGAATCAATAACCTCTGATCTAGAATGTGTGTCTTTCTCTTTGCCATTATCATTTGCTGAAAACAGACCACCATCCCCAGATTCTGTTGATGAAAACAGGCCACTTTCAGCTGAGTCACCCATTCCTGTGTTTGGAGAGGCTTTGCCAATTGTTTGGACCACACTGGATAGATCCTCGTCACCTGTTTCAGTTTGTTCAGATTTAGAATATGGGTCTATGTCTCTATCACATCTGTCATCTGAAGTGAGACCATCCTCACCTGATTCAGTAGTTTCTGGAGATGACTACAGAGGTGACTCACCGATACCAGAATTCAAAACGAGGCTGACTAAATCAGTTTCAGTTATTACTCACAGATCATCTTCTCCTGAGTCAGAGGTTTCTGATATTGAATTTACACAATCAAGTGTAGACATAAGCATTTATGAGCAGAGACCAGACTCACCAGAATCACAAGTATCGGAGACCATAGAGAGACATTTATGTGGTAATAGTCAAACCTTGAAAGCGATAAGGGTGCCAGTATATAGACTGGTTTATGATGCTGAACTTTGGAAGCTCATTTCTCAAATACGTGATCCTCACTATGTTGGGGAGACTTTCTGCAGTAAAACTGGTGTTTTTGAGTATGCTGGAACAAGAATTGAGTATGTTCTGGGAAACTCAGATGTGAAAAAGGGAGTGTTAGAGGATGGTTTGAAGTTGGACATTGCAGAGTCATCTGATGCAGATGTTCCAGAATGTAGACCTGCAGCACCTGAATCAGTTACTGCTGCTGTTGATTACAGGTGCTCTTCACCCAAGCCAGTACTTTCAGATATCAAATATGGGTTTTCAACCTCAGAGGCCTTTACAGACCAGAGAGCAGACTTACCTGAATCAGTTGTTTCCATGCTTGAGGAAAGGCAATCGGTTGCTGGTGCAACATTGACAGCAAACCAGCTGATGTGTCAACTATATGACCCCCATTATGTAGGAGAAGCTTTTATAAGCGGGGCTGAAGTGTTTGAATATGTGGAGTCTAATAAAGAATTTGATTCCCTTGATGCAGATGCAGAAGCGACAGGTAGGCCAATGTCACCTGACTCTGCGGCAGAATATAGACCTCTCTCACCTGAGGGCCTGAAGTTACTGAGTGTTCTAAGGTCTGATTCTCAGGAGACAGGGATCTCTGTAGATGAGTATAGAGCTTTGAGTCCAGATTCACCCACTCCCCAATTTCCTGTCACACTTCCTGAAACTCCATTGGAATATCATAGGCCACCATCTTCCGAACCTGTGTCAGATACAGAACTTGAGCAATTTGATGTTGCTACTTTATCTACTGAGTCAAGGTTATCATCTCCTGAATCAGAACGATCACTGAGCAAACATAGGCCTCTCTCTCCTGATTCACCAGTGCCTGACTTTAGGCCAGAGTTACAGAACTCTTTTGTTTTAGCTAATGAATATAGATCATCCTCACCCGAGTCCGGTTCCTCAGATTTGGAGGATTCATCAGGATTTTTTCCTTCAGAATTTGGCATTGAAGACAGATCAGATTCTCCTGATTCAGTGACATCAGAAATTAACATGAGGCCATTGTCACCAGAATCAGTGACAGAATTTAGGCCTATGTCACCTCAGTCACTGATGATAACAACAGAATTAAGAACTTCATCTCCAGATTCAATCACATCGGTTAGTGAGTTTAGGACTTTAGGAGCAGATTCTCCTCTTCCACAGTTTAGGCAATATGGAGAATCAGCTGTGATCATTTCTGGGAGCAGGTCATCATCATCTTTATCTGTAATATCAGACACTGAAAATGATGTTCTGGACATGCTATTTTCTGAGGTGCGAGGGAGATCCTTCACACCTGATTCTGAAAATGAGTTCAGGGCACTTTCAACAGATTCACCCATACCTGAATTCAGACAGCCTATACTTCATCTAACTATTTCAACTGCTGCATACAGATCTACATCACCTGAATCAGTTTATTATTCAGATATAGTGTATAGAGATGGGTCATTTGCATCAGTATCCGATGATCATAGACCTCCATCCCCTGATTCAGTGGCATCCGGAGATGAAGACTGGTCCCTGTCACCAGATTCCCCTGTACCTCAATTCATAGCAAGAGTTGTTGAACGCTTTCCATCATTTGTTGGTTTTAGGTCAGCATCCTCTGAAGAACCTACATCAGATGTTGAGTATGCACCTTTGATTAATTCCTCACCTGATATTGAAGATAGACCAGATTCTCCAGAGTCACTAGAACTAGTTGAAGTTGAGGAAAGACCACTGTCCACTGATTCTGAATCAGAGTTTAGACCTTTCTCAACTACATCACTGACATTAATGTCAAATTTCAGGTCATCCTCTCCTGAATCAACAGGCTCTCTGAATAGGTTTAGAGCTCTTTCACCAGACTCCCCTATTCCAGAGTCTAGACATTTGCTACAAGAGTCCTTAAAAACATACATGGAATATAGATCCTCTTCACTAGAGTCGGTGTCGTCAGATTCGGAAGTGGAAATAGAACTACCTTTCTCGATGTTACTTGAGGACAGACCTTCATCTACTGAGTCTTTAGCATCAGTCAGTAAATACAGCAGACTCTCACCTGATTCTCCTATACTTGAGTTCAGGCCAGCTTTGCTAGTTCCATATGCTGATGTTAATGCTTACAGGTCATTACCACCAGAGTCAGTGGCATCAGATGTAGAACCCGCTCCCATAATGTCTCAGCTGTTCGAAATCGAGGGTAGAGCAAATTCTCCACAATCAATCTCGTCTTTCCATGAACACCAGTGTCTGCCTCCAGACTCTCCAGTAACCCAATACACCCATACTGAACATCCCATGTTGACAGTAACATATAGATCTGCATCACCTTGGTCAGTATATTCAGATGAGGATTTGGAGACTGATTTGTGTCTCCCTTGGATTTTTGAGGACAGAGCAGCATCTCCCGTTTCAGATGCATCTAAAGAGGAATTTAGACCTCTTTCACCAGACTCACCCATTCCTGAATTTAAAGCACTACATGAGTCTGCCATATCTTACATGGACTTAAGATCCACTTCACCTGAGTCAGTGTTGTCCGATTTGGACATGGAAATTGAGTTATCTTTCCCAGGTATCATAGAAGACCGACCTTCATCTGTTGAGTCCTTAGCATCTGTGAGTAAATACAGAAGACTTTCTCCTGATTCCCCTGTTCCTGACTTCAGACAGGCTTTGCTGGAGACATATCCTAAGTTTAATGCTTACAGGTCATTATCACCTGAATCAGAGGCTTCAGAAATAGAATATGCCCCTTTGATTTCACAGATGTTTGATTTTGAGGACAGAGCAGAATCCCGTGAATCAGGGGTGTCTGACACTGATCTCACATGTTTGTCTCCTGACTCTCCACTACCCCAGTACACCATGAGTGCACTCACTATGTTAGGAGTAAGATACAGATCCATATCACCCGATTCAGTATATTCAGATGACGATTTGCAGACTGATTTGTGTCTTCCTTGGATTTTTGAGGACAGAGCAGCATCTCCTGGTTCAGCTGCATCCAAAGATGAATTTAGATCTCTTTCGCCAGACTCACCCATTCCTGAATTTACACCTGCACTATTATGAGCACCCTATCTAACATGGACTTAAGTCACTACACCTGAGTCAGTGTTGTCAGATTTGGAACTGGAATTACCTTTCTCAACATTCTTTGAAAGCAGACCTTCATCTCTTGAATCTCAAGCATCAATGAGACTTTCACCTGATTCACCTGTGGCTGACTTTATGCAACCAGTGTTTGGATTACCTGGAACTATTTTTGGACATAGGTCAGCATCCCCTGAGTCAACATGTTCAGATATGGAATACATTGTTTTAAGCCTAGGATCACTAGACAACAGACCCTCTTCACCTGGCTCAGGAGCATCTGGAGATGAATACCAGGCTCTGTCACCAGACTCACCTATACCTGAATACCCATCAACAATGGCTGAACGTGTTATTGTGAATGTTGGGTATAGATCACCTTCCCTTGAATTTATTGAATCGGATATTGAGTATGCTTTGAATGAGTTTTTAATACCCATGAATTATGGTACTGAGGATAGAACGGATTCACCTGAATCAGTAGGATCAGAAGTACAAGAGAGGCCACTATCGGTTGATTCCATACCAGAATACAAACCGTTGTCACCTGTGGCATTGATGTTACTTGGAAACATCCGGACAGTATCTCCAGTTTGTATTGAATCACTTGATGAACATAAGAGGTTGTCGCCAGACTCACCTCTTCCATGGTTTACACAAAATGTTCTTGAGACTATGACAGCAGAAACACACTATAGCTGTTCGTCCCCAGAATCAGTATTGTCAGATATGGAATGTGGTTTGGTTTTATATGACTTAGAAGCCACTAACATGAGACCACTATCACCTCAGTCAGAGATATCAGAGGATGAATGTAAACCCCTGCCCCCTGAGTCGCCAATACCTGATTTTACAAAGACATTTGTAGAAAATGTAATGACTGTGGGAGACCTATCACCCACTGAATTTTTAGATTCAGATGATTTGTCTCAGGCTTTAGACCCATTTAGTACAGAAGAGAGGTCATCGCCAGAGTCTATTGAATACAATAAGGAAGAATTACTGTTGGCATCCAAATCATCAGTAACTGAGTTAAAAGTCCAAACTGCCAGTGAAGCAACCATTAATAGTACTGTTGTATCATCAGCAATGGCACCAACCTCACCTGAGGAATCTGGTATCATGGTAGCTGAGTATAATCTCATTTATGATGCAGAGCTGTGGAAGCTGATTTCTCAAGTACGTGATCCTCAGTATACTGGAGAAACTTTTAGCAGTAAAACAGGGTTTTTGCAATTTATTGGCAGCGCAATAGATTATGAAAGGAGTGTTTCAGATGATGATCAAGAGAATAAAGTAAAAGATAAAAATGATCAAGATACCTTTGCCACAATACCACCTTCAGAGGTGACACATCCATTTACTACAACAGACACAGCTAAAGCTGATGACAGCTTCATTTGCACTTCAAGTGCACAAGTCATATCTAACATACCTCTTTCAGAGTCACCTCCACCAATGATTGAACACATTCTGTCTTCAGGAGCAACTCCATACAGACAGGCTAAGTACACATTTGAAATACCAACCCCTGAGGCACAATCTGATGATGATTGTGTGGTTGTATCAGTATCTGATGCAGAGGATGATGGTGTATGCTATTCACCAGAGTCCTGGACAGACTTCAGACCCATATCACCTAATTCAGTCATAGTGGATGAAGCAAGAGCATCATCACCAGAATCTGTAACATCTGTCAATAAATTTAGACCACTCTCACCCGATTCCCCCTTACCTGAATTTACAATGGCATTGCCAGAATATGTTACGTTCTTGAGATCAGCATCATCTTCGCCTGAAACTGTGGCATCAGATGTAGATTATATGTCATTTGCAAATTTGGAATCTCAGTTTGCAGAATGCAGGCCATCATCTCCAGAATCAGAAGATCAGAATGAGAGAGATAGGCCATTGTCATCTCAGTCACTGCCTGAATACAGACCTATGTCACTTGAATCAGCCATGCAAATGGTTGACAAAAGAGCATCATCTCCAGAATCAATGCCTGAGTTAAATGAGAACAGGTCACTGTCTCCAGACTCTCCCATCCCGCAGTTTACAGTGTCTTTGGGGGAGTACACCACTACACATAGGTCATCATCACCTGAATCAATGGGTTCAGATTCAGAGTGTGAGCTTCTAGTCACATCATCAAGAGTTGCTGAGACTGACAGACCATCCTCACCTGAATCCATATCATCTGTCAATGAGTTCAGACAACTTTTGCCTGACTCACCAGTACCTGAGTTTATGAGAATATTGTCTTCTTACTTTATGGATGCTACCTACCTTGATAGATCATCTTCACCATTGTCTTTGTCATCAGACTCTGAGTTTGTTGCTTTACCTATTGATTGTTGGATTGATGACAGCCCAAGGCCACTAAGCCCTCAATCTGTTGAGTCAGAAGAGGAATTAGGCTTTTGTTTTGAGAGGACTGAACTTTTGAGTCATGTGACATCTCCTTTATTGCCCGATCAGTCTTCATCATTACCTAACAATAGACCATTGGCTGTGTCACCATTACTAATTCAAACTGGTGAGACAAGGTCTAAACACGGACATGTCAATCCTGACTGGCAAAAAATGACAAGACCACAATCAGAAGTTTTGTCATACAAAGAATGGGTGCAGCATGAATCAGAAGCTGAAAGTATCTCAACTTTACAAACCACTGTTTCTGAGGAAGACTTTCAAAAAGACTTTCATGTGAGAGCATTGCCAGTTCAAGATGCAAAAAGAAAGGAAAAGAAGACCCTACACATCAGTGCTGAAGAACTAATGAGCAAGACAGCCTCACAAAGGGTAAGACAGAGCAAGCATGACAATCAAGCAAAGAATCACTTATTTTGGATGAATTCATTAACATGCCATTTGGATGGAGGAAATAACTCTGTGTGCCTTGATGAACAAATAACAAATTGGAGTGCAGTGAATTCCTTGTATTTGTCCAGAAATGGACTGGAATGTTAACATACTTATCACTCTTCCTTCAGGTCTGATGCTAAGTTGCATGTCTGGGATTCACATATATTGTTCTAAACCTAATGAGATATTGACTGGATGAAAAAAATAATGTTTCAGTGTTGCTAACCTGGTGAAATGCTGAGGTCAATTTAATGATGCATAAGAACCTGTACATTGATTTTTAAAAATATTTTTTGGTGAACTTATTTGGATGTTATCATATTTACTTACAGGCTCCTGCTCAGTCACCAGACGAAACACAGTTTCACATAGATGATGAGGTGCAAAGCAAGCTGTTGTCTGCTACAACAGTGACACAAGACGGCAGTAAAATAAGTCTGCTGTTTGCTGATGACAAGTCGCTTAAATCAGTTCCCCTACAGCTACCTGACCAGAACTCACACACAACTCACAGAACTGTTACTCCAGTTCTACCCGCATCTGAGAAAACAGATGTAAAGTCAGACCGATCATATGGGTACTCAGATTGGGAGTTTATTCCTAAGAAAGCACAGTCCAGTGAGCTTTTTTCACCTATGTCAAATCAGTTTTTGGTACCACCAGATTATGAAGCAGTATTTTCAGGACATCAAACCCTGAGAGTTTCTGAATGTAGCCAAGCCTCCTCAAATGATTTGAGTCCAGTGTCTCCAGTGTTCAGTGACTCAATTTCAGCTCAGGTCACCAAGGGAGAGTCTGAAAAGGCTGAAGACTTCAAGTTTTCCCCAGGCTTTCACAGAGTCCTCTCAGAATTCGAGAAAACTGTTTCAAAATTTGAATCGGAGGATCCAAAAGTCCTACCAAAAGAACTCAGTAAAGGATCGGAATCTCCACAGCACTCTGACTCGGATCTGGAATTCTTTGACTGCAGACAAGCCTTCTCCGACTTCTCTGAACCAGAAGAGGTGAAACGGGAACATGAGATTACCTACCATATCTCCGAACCCCCGTCTCCAATGCCTGGGAGTAGCCTTGATGTCGACTTCCTAAAAGGGAGTCCTCAGTACACTGCTCGCCCTTACCTTCACGTGGAAGATAACAAGCGCTTCTCTTCTGGCAGTGAAAGTCTTGGTGAATTTGCTTATGATTCAGAGGGGTCACGGGAGTGTCGAATAGAGGGCGACCTCCCTGTGTGCGAGGAGCTTCCTTCCAGAGATCAGGCAGGGTATTACGATGATGATGACTTCCTGGGAAGGGTAAGAGGATGAGCATGAGCACAAGGCTGCAATGGTTGGTGTCGTTGCCTGGCCAGGCTGGTTGCTGTGGTGCTGCATCCAAGACATAGAAAATAAAACACAAGTTTGCACTTTATGGACTAAATGAGGCTAACGTGCATGGGTGCCTAAATTTTCAAGAAAATAACCGTGATGAGTTTTTGTATTAAATATTGTGTCATCAGTGACAGAAAAACCTGTTTTTTTTTTACAATGGTGGTATGATTTATTTACAGTTCCTCATTTTAAAGTCAGCATTTGTGACATTTACATTCTATAACATATAACTCTGTTCACATCTGCACTGTTTTGCATTCTTTGCTTTCTGCTTGTTGTTGCCCCCATCAGTGTGTGAAATATCCTTTGACAATCAGTGGGTCCCTTGCTGTGCACTGTATTTTGAAAAATAGAGTAGGAAAATTCCAGTATATTGCATATTATATTTAACTTTGCGTCACCTTCGCGGATTTGGTGAAATGAGGACTCAGGCAAAACAAAGTAAATTGGAGCAAGCTGTGCAAGCCTCATACAGCTTTTCAAATAAATTAGATTTTTACATTAATCATTTGAAACACTTTCCGACCCACAGAAATGAACGTCCTGGAATAACCATGTTGGCTTACTACATAGGTATCAAGGGAATTTTTTTTGCTCTGCACCCACAAAGCCGAGCACTGGAACCAAACTGTTACACCCAAAAATCTCTAATATTGACATCGGTGTCCTTTTTAACAGCTGCGGCACCAGTGTCTACTCAGTCAGTGATATTTTCTGTGTTGCCCCCCCCCCCCAAAAAAACAAAAAACAACAACATTTGATTTGGACATTTTTGTGGGGATTCTAGATGTTAATTGGGGTGTCTCCTCCTGTTTCGCACACTGGTTCCCATCCTTGCATGTTTAAAGTGTTTGCATAACTGTACCTTCTCTTCATCTCACTTCACTATTGTGTACAGCCATACAATTTTTTCTTTTATTTCCTCATTCCATTTGTCTGTACATGTACCTTTTTGGCAAGTGAACATAAAAGTGAGGTTAAGGGAAAAGAAGGAACAGCCGCTGTCTGCAGGAGTGTACTGTAGTGTGCAGATCTGATATATTGACCCATGCTGGTTGTGTGCTATCTCCCAGGAGATAGCAGAGGAACTAGGGTTGCTGTCCTCTGATAGCTCAGAGGAGGAGGTGCTGACCACCAGGGTGGTCCGACGCAGAGTTATCATTCAGGTAAACAAGCATGATGCAGCCGTGCAGCCCCAGTGCACTGTGGAGTGATGCAGGGTTAGTGGGTAGCAGAGATTTAGTGCTCCTTGGTGGTTTCATGCTGGACTTGAATTATCGGGTTCTTATATTTGCTTGGCACAAAGTTATTTTATGCAATGCAGAAAATAAAATCTAAGGGTGGAAGAGGACCTCTTAACCACATTAGTTGTTATTTAGTTTGTGCATGCTCACCTACTTGTATTGTTTTTGTGTACATTCATTTTATTTTTTTGTTATAGAAATTACAAAAAAATCAATATTGAAAAACTAAAGCAACAATGTGTAAAAATGTTTAACTTTGACATTGGCGCCTAAAAGTGTTGGTCATGTTTGAGTGATTTATATAATTTCAGTCAGGACCACTTTTGTCAAAAGAAAACTTTATTTCCAAATGCAGACTGTTATATTTGGCAGTATGACCCTGTTCTAGGACCTCCTTGCCCTTCCACATGCATACGTGGAAAGCTTAAGACAAGGACAGTAACAGCAAAGACCCCCAGGGTATAGAACAGAGCAATCATCAATGGCAGCAGAAACGACATTGATTAAATCAGATACAGCATAAAAGGAGGAGTTGGATTGCAAAGCGGCTTGTAGAGGAAGCAGCAAAGTTAGATAGTCTAAAGCAGCTTAACTGAGGTATGACATTTGCCAATTGGATGCTTGAAGGGATCAGCTGAGCCGTCAGCTGATGTGTGTTTATGACCAGCTGCGATCAGCTGGTGTAGCTGGAATTGAGAGCTGAGCTTGACGTTGTGCCTGCCTGAACTATTGCTGTTGTTGATTGTCCCCCTCTGTGCACTAACATTTGAACTGACAGTATGTTTTGTCTTTTTACAGGCGGATAACCTACCAGATATCCCGTCACAGACTGTCACGGAGGAGAAGTACACAGACGAGCATGGCAACATGGTAGTTAAGAAAGTAAGGGAACATCCAAAGATGTTAACAACATCAAAATATCCAAAAATTACACTTAAAATCACAGTACTACTCCTTGGCATATATGATGAAAAACCAGGTTACAGTTTAACAAAGTTGTTGTTTTTCTGCCGTTTCCATCAGATCACACGGAAAGTGATTCGTAAATATGTGTCAGCTGATGGCATGGAGACACAGGAAGTGACCATCGAGGGCTCTCACCAGGAGACGGTACAGATTGAGGAGGGAGACACTGTCTCCAGAGTGGTAAAGAGAACTGTGCTCCACAGTGAGGGAGATCAAAAAGAGGTCAGTGTAGTCTACCAGCCACTTTAATATGCAGCAACACTTTAATCATATTAATTAGTTTCCATTCTGTGACTCCATAATCATAATTATGAATATCACTTTTGCTGTTAATGGATATCTAATTGTGCTATTGTTATTGTATCTTTGAGTCTGTACCTGGTATTTCTTATACTTAATCATGAAGAGAATTTTTTGGCTGAATTCAAGACTTGTGAAGTTTGGAAACTGCCCACTGATGTTTCCAAGATGCACGTCACCTGTAACACACTGAAACTGCATCCATTAGACATATGTGTGGTATATATGCCACAGTTTGTCAATATACAGACAAACTCATACATTTGAAAGGTAAAATAAAAGCATGTTCAGTAGCCAATGTTCTACACGAACTAGCTAGCTATTGTTGCTAACTATCATTAGTACTAGATAGAGGAATTGTGTTTCTGTTTAAGAACATTTATATGTGTGCATGCATTTACTAGTCAGTCTGACAAAATACAAAACATTTCTCACTTTAAATAAAATGCAGCATTCATGAAACAATAGGTTATTTAATAATAACTAATAATGCTATTTATTTGTGCAAATCAGTATCTCTTCTTCATTCAGGTGCTTTAAACTCAAGTAATGAGTTACTTGTTACTGCTAGCTTTATCGGGCAAATATAGCATACAGCTTATTAACAAGACAGAGTCTACAGTCATGAGTGAGACTGCAAAGCTTTTCACATTGACATTGAATGCTGAAATGCTGATTTTTTAACTGGTATTACCATGTTTAACATTGTAGTGTTGTGCTAGCATGCTAAACTTAGCTAAATAGTGCTAAAACACTAAAAGCACTTTGAAGGTTGATGGGAATGTCATTGTTTTTTAAGGTTTTTGGCCATAAAATCATTGGATATACCGAAATGCTGACCCAGTGACATTAGATAAAATTAAATAAGACATTATAGATCGTACATAACCGTTGGTGCCTTGACATCTCTCCAGCTGACCTTTTCGGAGCCCCTGGCCCTGGGCGCCGCCACGGCTTCAGAGTTTGAAGTGGAGCCAGTGCAAGGTCGAAAGGTCAGCAAGGTTGTCAAAACAACAGTGGTGAGAGGCGAGAGGATGGAGAAGCAGACGGGAGACTCCTCGCTGGCTGCAGATCTCCCCTCAGCCAGAGAGGACTTTGAGAAGGTCAGTGTCTCCAAACGAGAAAAAAATATTTAAAATTATTCTGTCAAATGTATCCTTAACAAGTGCTGCTAATACATATTTTTTATAACTTGTCAGTAACTACTGTTGAGCAGATCTCTATATCTGTCAGGTTTCCAGTGTTTTGTCTTTGCTCCTTCCTCCTTCTGATCCCTTGTTCTTCCCCTCCAGGCGTTGAGTTATGCTGGAGGCTTTGGGAAAGTGCTCCTGCCTCATGTAGTAGAGAAAGAGATTGTGCAGGACGACGGTTCTGTGGTTAAAAGGTTGGGCAGCAGCATGGGAGTGTGTGGAAATGACCACAAAGACACAGCTGTTTACTGAGAGCATTTAGAGGTTAACAAAAAGGCATGCTGTGATTGCATTGTCTTCTAACCATTAATGTTACCGTCCAAACTTTGATTTCAAAAACTGACTTATTATTATCGCAGACGTGGTTTAACATGTAGATTAAAAGCACAGTGTACAATTATGCCTTGCCCTTTCTTAAAATGTTTTAGATGTGATAAAGTCGAGTTGAGTACATTCTGCATAATCGTCATGTTATTATGTCATTGACTCCATATTTTCGTAACCGATTGGATGATGATTGCCAGAAGTTTGAAAATAAACCTCAGAATAAAAACATTTTATGTGGTTGAAGTATGAAATGTGGACAAAGTTGCATGGTGTGTGTTCAGTTTCTTACATACCATGTTTAAAATGCTTGGTTAACCCACATTTTAGGTCACTGTAGCATGGAAACATATCAGTGGGTTAGGAGCTACATTTTTAAAGAGAAGAGGTATGGAAGACCACAGCTACCAATATTAAAGGTCCCATATTTGACACTTTTCCGTGTTTTGTTGTTGCATTTTGTGTCATTAATATTAATGAGACCCCCCTCTGATTGGCTGAGTGACGTACACGCAGGCCAACCATAGGTAACTGGTTGTAACCTACCCAGACAGTGGGTCCAGGTGCGCCATGCTTGGGGCATGGCTGAGGGCAGTGACTGTGTAGTTGTGACATTACAACCTTACGGAAGTCTGTGCGTTGAGCATTTCTATTTTACAGTATTTAAATAGCATCTACGTCTCACTTTCTACAATGGGACATTTAAAATGAAATTATTTCTGTAAACTAAAATTCATTTTATATTTGATACACAATGTGACAAAATTTGAAATTGAACTTTGGTTTTTCAATTAAAATTTTGTATCGTGCACATAAATGGAACATGAATGTTCTTTTTGATTTAATGATTTAGTTTTAATATTGGCAGTCCTGGATTTCCATAGTCTGAAATAGTGACTGCTGAAATGTGGCCCATCTAACCGCTGACAGACTGACCCCAAATGATCAGTCCATGTCTGTAAACACGGCCAGTCATTGACAGTCCATCAGTTAGCTTGGATGTGGTGTAACACTTGTTTTCTTGCTCCTGCAGAAGCCAGATGCGTAAGTCGCGAACCCAGAAGAGGACTGTGGTGAGGGATGCCCAAGGGAAGCACGTGCACCTGGAGCGTCTGGACGACACCCCAGACGCCCTGCAGCCCGACGCACTGCAGCAACACCTGCACCGACTGCTCCAACGCTACTGCGAGGATGACGACGACGAGGAGGGGGAGGAGGAGGAGGAGGAAGGAGACGAGAATGAGGAGGAGGAGGAGAGCTTTGACTGAGCAGCTGCTTCCACTGATCCTCTCCCTACATCTTCCACTGAAGCCTTTGGTGACGTACGCTTCCTCAGATCAAGATGTTCCAGATCCCCTTCTTGTTGTCCTCGCTCATCACTGGATTAAAGTTTTTATTTCTTCCCCTTTTTTGTCGAGTAATGGAACAGTATTTTCGTGCTTTAACACTCTTCCCTCCTACACATTGTGTTTCATTTGCTCTTTTTGTGACCAAAGATAGCACCCTTCAGTTTTGTCGGACGGCGATTTCTGTTTTTACCTTTTGGCTGCTGTGGTGTGATTGCGGTACGACACACCAAAGGCGGATCAAAGTCGGGGAGGGGGGGGCATCTCAGACGTTTCGCCTCACGCACTGGCCTCTTCTTGAAGAACTCTTGTAAACATTTGTACATAGAGGAGATGAAAAAAAATCATGCTTGGACTTGGAGTCCAAAAAGTTCAAAGCATTTAATACATTAGCCCACCTAAACCTGCTGTACATGCACCGATTCAGCTGGAGAATGGCCACCGTACAGATGAGATTAATGTTACATAGAGAATACATTGGGAGTGAATGTGTGTGTCATCATGGACTCTTTATACAGCCAAACATCACCCTGCTGATCTGTTTACAAAGGCTGTGCGGTCACAACTTTTGTCAACCCATGATGCATCTGCCCTTTTTTCATTTATGTGTCTGTCTGTCCAATGTGTGTCGTGCATTCACATTATCTGTCACAGAACCGCCACCTCCGTGTGTGTATATACAGTGTGTCCACTGAGAAAGAAAGTAGTGATGAGGAATGTTCTGATGCAGATCGAGCACTTACCCCCGCTGTCCTCGTAGCCCCTGTCGTCACTGTCTCCACCTTCACGTGTGCTGTTTGTCCTCACCTCAGACTGCAGCCCTGCTCATGTAATTGTCCTCCATCACGCCTTTTAAAGGATGAGGCTGGCTACTGTTTTTCTGCTTGTCAACAAATCCCATGTGGGGAGCCAAACCAACAGTGAATGGATCATATTGTGCGTATCCAAAGCCTGGTATACCTTCTTCCTCTGTGCCATAGAGCTCTATTGTTGTCCAAAAACTGTTAAAAACACATAATGGTTGACATTCTGTCTCACAAGTCCTTACGTAATGGAAGTGCAGTGAACCTTTAAGGTCATAAAATTATTTCCCTTTTGTCCTGCATCATGGCCTCATATCAGGGAGAATAGAACTTTTTTTTAGAGTACTTTAGCTCGCCATTGCTACCTGTTGTTTTTAACCAATTAACGCATTTTAATTGTCTGTCCACTTTCTATTCAATCATGTGTGATGCTGAAAATCAGTCACTGTGTGTCAGGCAGAAACTATATGTCAATGAGAAATGTACACAATTTCCAGCTTTTCCCTAAAACATTTAGGATACTTCAATATTTCTAATCATATACTTATTATTCAATAATGAACCAAACACTTAAGCCGGGAGAGAAAGAGGTCATCTCATTTCACAAGAAATATGTTTCTTTGGTTCCTCATATCTCAGTAATGAAATGAAAGGAAGTGGTATGTACCTACTGACCACTGTATATAGTAATAGTTCAACACATTTGCATCTGGAGTTCCATCTGTTAAAAACTACAGTGAGCAACTGCTTTAGAAAATTACTGAGCCCCCTTTTTTTAAAAGTGTATATTATGAGCTATTTTTAAAGAGTTCTACCTTCAGTAGGAACCAGTGGGCGTGGAGCTGAGCGGAAAGGAAGTCAGAAAGTAGTGAGAGTTGGGTTATCACATGGGGTTTGTTGACAATAATAAAATATAGAATAACACCAGTTTTCAGACACCACATATACGATAACGATGCTTCGCTTTCAGTGCTGTTGTTGATTTGACTTTTTCTTGTTATCACTGCTATCAAAGGATCAACACATCAACTTTTAATCCAAGCAAAGGCGACTTCCACTGACTTCAGTTATCACATATGTACCTCCTTATTTATTTATTGCCGTCCATTTGTGATCCCTGTATACTCCAGCTGATATAAGCTGAGAGTGGTGTGTGTGTTTGAATGTGTTCTAAAGCTAAAAGACAAATGAAGTTTTTTTTTTTTGCCACATTAGAAAATAGGATTAGATTGGAAAGCTGGTTGAACTGTGTACAGACTGATAAAGTATGTTTTGTGTTCATCTACAGTTGAGACTTTATGTAACAATATGATCCTCACGTTGCCATTTACTTTGAGTGTGATCCAATGGAAGAATAAAAGAAATGTCAAAAAAAGACCATTGATTTGGTAAATGAGCATCTTGTTTCCATGGTGATAACAATATATACATATTAACAGTGCAAATATCTATGCGGGCATGTATGACTTTATCAAATTATTACTAAAAAATAAACCTGAAACGCTAACAAGGCAAAGCAGCTGCAGTGTGTACATGGCAGAACAATAAAACTGTACATGTGTCAAATGTGAAGTGATGTCATTCTTTCCCGCAGCCGGAAGGAGTTACACTAATCATTCCGCCTTACGTTTTGGATGGCGAAGCACCCGTTAAAGGAGAAACCTCAATATTTGGCTAATTCCTAAACATAAAAATTCCACAAAGGTAATTCCGAGTTACAAAGAAAAGGGAGTTTTGTGTGCAGTGCGAATTACAGCAGAACTACACCCAATGAAGACTATAGAAACAACAAGTAGCCCTGCATTCAGAGA